AATAGGCAAATCCACAGAGACAGAAAGTAGATTAGTGGTTGTCAAGTGTGGACAACTAGGGAGAATGTGGAGTGACTGCAAGTGGGTGTGGAGTTTCTTTCTGGGTTGATAAAAATATTCCACACTTAGGCTGTGATCATGGTCGCACAACTCCAAATATACCACTGAATGTGTACACTTTAAAATGGGTGAGTGAATTTACGATATGTGAATTATGTCTCCAAAAAGATGTTTTAAAAAACGTTTTTACAAATGTCAACTAAAAATTGAATTCATTCAAATATATACCCTTCATAGTTTAGTATGTAAAATAGTAAATAGCAAAGCATATCTTACAGATATCTTTTATTAGCTAAACACTGTACATTTGTAGGTATAAAGTCTTAATCAGATGTTGATTTAAGGCCCATTTGAAAGGAAGTTGTGTGTAGTATCTAATAAGCAAATGCATTCTCTTAAACCATATTATAATAACTCATCTAGCTTAAGATAAAAAATAAATAAATAAATTTTAAAAGGATTTTGTTGTCCCAGATGACTTAAAAAGGCACAATGAGTCACAGCAGCTTAAGGAACCTCCTCAGGATTCTCCCCTCTTCACCTCTCCCTTGCGGGGCGGGGGGAAGGGGGCTGCCCGCAGCCTCTGGACTCAACCCCAGTAGATGGAGCCAGTCCTTTCTCAAAAGTAATATGGAAAAATCATTATCGTTCCTATATACAAATAACACGATACACAAAATATAATATAAAAGATCCCACTCAAAGTAACAACACAATGGAAAATACATAAACAAATAAAATACTGAATATATGAAGTACGTGGAACCAATGTGAGGAGCACGAAATTACGAGGGGGTTGGGTGGGGAAACAAAAAGAAAACCTGAAAATATAAACACAGTCTCTTGTTCTTGGATAGAAAATCGTAATCTGGTAAAAGTTCCCATTTTTCTCAAATGAATCTACAATACAATTTATTCCCAGTCAAGTCCCTTAAAGGAGTGTTTATGGAAATTTGAGAATCTGACAAGATTATTTCTAAGTTCATTGAAATGAGAAAATGAAAGAAAATAAGAACATATCAAAAAGAAGCACATCAAGGAAGGATTTGTTCTTCCAGAGCAGGTCAAAGATTTAAGTCACAAAAGCAGATAAAACCATGTATGGGTGAGAAGAATATATTGCTGGATATTTTTATATGTATTAGAAAAAAACGAAGAAGGACCAAGGAAAAGAGATAAACTATTAATATTAAGTTTTCTGTGTGGTTCTTCCATTTCCTGCTTGTTTTCTCATCTCTAAATACAATAATACTATTTACCATATAGAGTTGTTGTGAGGATTAAATGAGATAAAACACCATTGCTCTCGTTATGTTTCCAAATATACAAACAAAATTATTACAAATAAAAAAGTAGAAAAAATTCACCAAAAAAAAATGAGAGAAAGAATATAGCCAGAATTTCAAAGAACTATATAAAACGGGTAATGAGAATATGGAAAGATGATCGACACGATTAATAATCAATATTCCACCTCTTACTGATCCTAACCTATGTCAGGGAGTCGTGGGAAAATTGGTGCTCTTAGATCTGTGGGCGGGAGTGTACGTTGATTCAGCTTTTACAGGAAAAGAGTCTGGCCTCCACTGTTAACATGTGCGATATGCCTTCCCTTACACAGCCCGAGCCCCCAGACCATCCTGAACCTTTATTTTAAAGAATATACAAAATGCATAGATATGTGCACATTAAAAAAAAAATCTTATGGAATGTTGCAAACTGTGCACGACAGCGCCCCCTGGAGGGTGGGAGTGGGAAGGCCTGAGCACCTTCCTCTCTCCTGCTTCTCCAGGGTTTTCTGTACCAGGCCTTGGGCTTCACCTTGGCTACGGGCCTGGAGGCCAGCAAGGTGGAGGTGCTGCTGCTGGAGCTGCTGTACAAGACGGACTACAGCAACGACTTCGACCGGGAGGTGAGGGCGCCTGCAGTCGCCGCCTGTCCCCCAAACCCCTCAGGACCCTCGGGGGACGTGTGTGTTCATATGCCTGCATGCATGTGTGTGTACATGCGTGTGTGCCCATGCACACGTGTGTGGGCCCCTCCTCTGCCCTCACCCCAGCTGGCTGGGTCTCCCTGCAGGGCGTGATCCTGTGCTTCGGCCTGTGTGCCCGGGGCCAGGTGAAGACGGTGCTGAACGTGCTCCACGACTTCGAGGACAGGATCCAGGAGTCAGAGCAGTCCTGGCAGATCGGTGCTTGGCGGGTACGGTGTCCTCGCTCCATAGCTAGGTCTCTGGGCCTCTTAGCACAGTGCTCTGCCCCCTCCCGAGGCCCCTTCTAGATCTCAGGAAATGCCCCCTCCAGTCTCCTGTTGCCAGAACGATGCCCACGAGGCTTTCCTCTGACAGAGCTTCTGCTGTTGGATCATCGGAGAATACAGGGTGGCCTCCCAGGACCAGACACCATCGAGGGGTCCTCGCCCCTTCTGGGGGTCCTCAGACCAGCAGTTGGGGCTCCCTGGGTGTGGGTTGGACATGCAGAGTCCCAGGCCCCGCCCAGACCCCCAGAATCTGAAGAAGCTATTCAGGTAGTGCTCCGTGGGTGCCTTCCACGTGGAGAGCTCTGCCTCAGTGAGTCCATGGGGCTGTGGCCCACTGTTGGACGGGTGAGAACACTGAGGCTTGCCCACAGGCAGACGGCTGCTTGGTGGTGAGGTCAGCATTGGACCCAGACAGCCTATGGCCCCAGCATCTGGAGGCAACCCCTGCCCACCCTAGGGTGTGTCCCACAGGCTGGCTGAGCCCCCATTGGGAAACCATCCCAAGTGGCCCATGTCTCAGGCTTTGCTCTTGCCCTCGGGCCCTTTTCCTGGGATCTGTCATTTGGATAGAGAGAATCAAGGGTGTCCCAGAGGGTGTCAGGCTTCTGCCCCAGCGTCTCTGCAAAGCAGGACCTGAGCCTCGGATTCCTACTCATGGCCCGGCAGGGCACGGGTGCCCCTGTAGCCTGTCCACGTTGGGTTTGGTGGGCTCCAGCACCTCCTGCTCGGCGCTCGTTCAGAAGGTGTGTGTGCCGGGAGGCAGGACTGAGGCTGTCAGTTTCCACTGGATCCCCAGCCGCGAGAGCACCTGGCCCGGAGCAGTGCCCGGCAGGTGAAGGCATGGAGTGTGCGAGCTGCCTCTGTCTGGGGGTGTCCACGTGAACTTCCCACTCACAGCTAGGATGGTCCTGGCTGCCGTTGCCCAGTGGAAGCCTCCCAGGGCCTGGGCCCTGGCTTGTCTTACTCACCCCTGTGTGTCCAGTGCCTGGTGTGTGGTAGGTGACCAACACAGATGTCTTGAATGAATGAATAAATGTGTGAATAAATGCGTGAGTATTTCAGGTACCCAGAAAATGTGGAGGCTCAATGGTTCCTTTGGTCGTGTGGACAGAGACCGTCCCACGTGCAGCTGGGGCAGCCCCAGCTCTCCCCCAGCAGTGCTTCCCCTCTGGTCGGCCTTGCAGAAGGACCACCCCTGGAGGCGGGAAGCAGTGAAGAGCGCCCTCATGGTGATGTACAGCTGCGTGGCCTCCTACTGCCACCCCCAGATGCTCCTAAACCACGTGGACAGCCCCATCACTGCTAAGATCATCCACCACTACTCCAGCAGCTGCCAGGTAGCCCCCACCTACTGCTCGGGGGGATGTCTTCCCTGGCCCAGGCTGGTGGAGAGTCACCCCCATCATTGCTGGGCACCCCCAGCCCTACCCAGGAGACATCCCGGTCCTACCCCCGTGCAGCATTTGGGAAGCCCGTTGCCCGGATGTGCTGTTCTCTGTGCTTTGGTTTCTGGCTGGGGATGTGCGGGCAGCCCCTCCCCGAGTGCCAGGTGGGGTGAGCGTGGGTCCCCAGGAGCCATAGGTGAGCCCCAGCTCTTCCCAGCCTCTCCCACTCCCTCTGCCCTTCCTGACACCTGACCCAGGCCCTTTCATAAGGGACGAGACGTGAAAGGACTGACTACTTTCTTGGAATGGCAAGAAGGAGAAAACAGAGAATAAAGCAAAAATTATTTTTATGTTTAAAAACTGTGGTAAAACCTGCATAACATAAAATTTACCATCATAACCATTGTTAAGTGTAGAGTTCAATGGCATTAAGTACATTCACATTGCTGGGCAGCTGTCACCGCCATCCATCCTCAGAATTCTTCATCTTGCGAAACCGAAACCCTGTATCCGTGAAACCCTGACTCCCCGTTCCCTGCTCCCCCACCCTGGGCTGCCACCGTCCTGCGTTCTGTCCGTGGGAATCGAGCCACTCCGGGCACCTCTTATTAGCGGAATCAGACGAGAGTTGTCCTTCTGTGTCTGGCTAATTTCACTTAGCATAACGTCCTCAAGGTTCATCCATGTTGTAAAAGCAAAAATCACATTATCTCGATAACTTATCCTGCCCCTCTGGTGACACACGGCCTCAGTGGCCCTGGTCACGGAGGTGCCCCCTGAGCTGCATTGCCGCCCCCGGCACAGGCGTGGGAGGCCAGGAGCTGGGGCTCCTCAGAGGCTCACTCACCAATGTCCCTCCTTCCGCTCCGTCTTCTGGGCACAGAATGTCTCCCTGAAAATGGCCTTCATGAAGAGCATCGTGCAGGTTACCAACGCCGTCAACAACATCAAGGACCTGGAGGACTTCCAGTACGCCCCAAAGACGGCTCTCACTGGCATCATAACGGTGAGCCGGGTGAGGGGCCTCCTCGGCCCCCTGTGGTTTGGGGTCTAACTCTGCCGACTGCCTCCCCCTGGTCAGAGGTTTTCCTGAGGGCGTCTGAAGGACAAGCTGTCTGCGGAGGTCTCTGAAGCCCTCCCTGTTCAGTTCTGCTTCGATCTGTCTAACTGTAGGAGTTCTGGGAACGATTTTTGTACCTGATGAGGTTGCACAGCGAGGCAACGGTTTAGAAACCAGGGCAGAAGACCCAGCTGTCTTGGTCCCTATGGTGCCCAGAGGTGGCTGGTTCGGGGGCTGGTAGACAGAAACCCACCAGGCTGGCCCAGCTGTGGCCTCAATGTCTCTCTGTGGGAGGGACTTAGGGGCAGGGATCTGCTGGAAGCAGGACTTAGAGGGACATTTGCCCAGAACTTTGATAAGACGTAGAACATGTCAACTGTGCAGAGGCTGAAGGAGCTTGTGGGATAGCCAATGTCCGTCTTCCCAGACCTCCCCACCCCACGTCCCTGCCACCACCCTGGCCTCTGGAAGCTGCTCAGCTGTGCTGGAAGCAGCCGTTGCGGAGAGCGAGATAGGGTGGACAGGAGGCACCAGGAAGGAATGGGCGTTGCTCTGGCTCCCGCGCTGGGCCAGGAGTCGTGGCCAGCCTGGCCCAGCCTGTGACGCAGGTCACCAGGTCTCGCTCTGCAGAGACGGGCACTTGGGCTCAGGCAGGGCAAGTCTAGGGCCCCACTCCCACTTTGCTGGTTCCCCTAAGATGCCAAAGGCCAGGTGACCCTAAAAGGAATGGCAGAGGTATGGGATGTTAGAGCACTTTGGGGAGCATCAGGTCTTCCTGCACTAACCCTGGGGAGTGCTGCCGCCTTCACCATCCCTGTCAGCCAAAGGCCATGGCTCCTCACCTTGCCGGACCTCTGGGTGCCGGCGGCTCACTGCCCTGCTTGTGTTGGGCAGGCGGTCATCAGGGCGGAGTCAACTGACAACCTGGTTTCTCCCGTGCGGACTATGGCGATGGACGCCCTCTCGCACCTGAGGTGAGCTGGGCCCCTGCCCGTGCCTGAGGATGGGGCAAAGTCTGAGTCCATCCGTAGGTGCTCCTTCCAGGGCTGTACCTCCCTTGCCCTCCCCCGCCTCTGTAGCAGAGATCTTGGGCGGCAACTCGCTGGGGCAGTGGCCAGCCTAGAAGGTGGGTGGTCTGTCCCCTCAGCTCCTTTCCATAACTCTCAGCAGGACTACAAGTTGGGAGCTGCTCTTGGGATTGGGAAGTGAATGCCAGGTGGGTGGGCTGTTCTTTGGTTGACTAGGGGATGTTTTTAGCAAGAAATTACAGTAGTGACACTGAAGACAGTCACAGGGACCTTCAGGATGAACTGGGCTCGGTCAGTCAATGGGCTTGATCAACTATTTATTGATGTGATTTCTGCAAAATGACCTAATGCTCCAGGCTGACCTTCCTGGAATTGCCAACCCATCGGTGGGGAGGGGGAACGGAGAAGAATTTACGGGTTTATAAAGTTAGTATTTGAAGTGGTTGAGTCATCTCCAGGAATACTTCACCTGTAAGGGAAGAGTCATCACTTAGGCTTTTAGCAGAACTATCTGTTGCTTTAAGCTGCAGCAGACAGGCAGATTTTAAATACATTTCACAAATATCAAGTGAGCACATGTTCAGTTAATGCTGGGTACCAGGGGGACACAGATACATAAGAGATACATACTAGTCCCAGCCTTTACAGATAAGACAAACACACACAAACAAAATTATAGGTCAGGCTAAGAGGAACACATTTGCAGGCAAATCCCCCCCAAAAATCTAAGACCAAAAAGAGGGGGCTACCAATAAAATGCAACTCAGTCTATGCAACAGGAGCTATTAAAAGGTTTGGTGCAGGGGTTGGCATTTGACTTTTGACCTGGGCTTAAACAGAATGACTAGATTTGGGTCCTGCCAGCAGGGAGAACTACAACACCTTTGGGGAGCAGAAGTTTAAAGTAAAGTAGATGATAGCTCTTAGCTCTGGGGGCACAACAGAACCAATGGGGAACTTTTAACAATTCTGATACCCAGGTCCCATGCCAGATCCTGAGGCCCAGACAGGGCCCTGGGAGGTCCTTACAAAAGCTCTCTGGGTGGTTCTAACACACACCACGCTTGAGAACTAGTAATGAAGTGATAGCAGGAGAATGCGCCGCACGCGCCAATCAGCCAGCTACCACCCCTGGAGGGTTTGTTGAAACCCAGATGCCTGGCACCCACCCCCAGAGTTTCTGACTCAGTAGGTCTGGGGTGGGGCCATAGATTTTGTGTATCTAATAAGCTCCGAGGTGGTGCTGCTGGTTCGAGTATTATGCTCAAAAACCCTTGGACTAGAAGCAGCCTGGGAGGGCAGATCCCATGGTTGTAGTCAGGGAGGAGCAATGGGACGTTTCTGAGTAGGATATTAACAGGCTCAAAGCAGGGAACGGCAAGTAGGAGGGGTGGTCCTGGGCCGCTGAGGCTCCCCTCAATCACAGACACAGTCACTGGACACTGGTGACTGTGCAGAGCCAGGTGCCCTGGGGAGGGACACACACCTGAGCCCCCAGCCGGACAAGCTGGTCTCTCCCTAGTCCTGGGCAGTGGGGTTGCATGGGCTCAGCCCCCATGGCCACTCCTCTTGTCACTGCTTCTTTCCCAGCAAGCTGAAGCCTTTCTACTCCACAGAGGAAAACAGTGAGCTGATGGATATCGGCATACATTCTGTAATTTCTCTCCAGCCCCCAAGAGAGGACAATGAGTCTATTACGGTAGGTTCCTCTGGGCCACCTTCTTTTCTAGGTCAGGATCTTGATGTTTACATTGACATGGGCAGTGCCGAGAGTCCACCCTCCTGAACCATTCTTGAGTGGTGGGAGGCAGCAAGGTGGAGCAGGCGCTATTAGTGAGTGTAAGGTGATGCTAGCTGCTGTAACAGATGAGCCCTGAAATCTCAGTGGTTTAGGAAGATAACATTTATTCCCCCACCCGCCTTTTTCGGGGGTCTCACTCTGTTTCCCAGGCTAGGGTGCAGTGGTGTCATCACAGCTCACAGCAACCTCAGTCTCCTGGGATCAAGTGACCCTCCTGCCTCAGCCTCCTGAGTAGCTGGGACTACAGGAGTGCACCACCATGCCCAGCTGATTTTTCTATTTTTTCTAGAGACAGGGTCTTGCTGTGTTGCCCGGGCTGGTCTTGAACTCCTGGGCTCAAATGATCCTCCTGCCTTGGCCTCCCAAAGTACTAGGATTACAGGCGTGAGCCACTCCACTGCACCTGGCCTTATTTCTCATCCAAGTAAAGGCCAGCTGCCAGCGGGGGGGGTGGAGCTGCTGAATGCAGTTGTTCAGGAAGCTGGGCTGACAGAGGCCCAGTGACTGGCTGCCAGGGTCCTGGGGGAATTATATCCAGCCTGGACAGACAGGGGAGAAAGCCTGGAAGGTTTGTGAGCCATTTGCCCTCATTCCGAGGGCCAGACAGTCACGTGGCTCCCCCTATGCAAGGGGTTCTGGGAAGTATAGTTCCTGCCTACGTGGTGGTTTCCTCTGTGGAAGAGGAGAAGGACTCTTTTGTGGACAGGCAGCCATTTCTGCCTCGAGCCTGGGCCTGGGTGAGGAGTCAGGTGAACTGGACTCTAGGAGTTCAGTTTCCTCCTTTGTAAAGTGGATTTCTCTCGAGTGGTTGCCTTGTGCTTCACACGAGAAGAAGCCTGTAAAGAGCTCAGACCGAACAGAAGACGGAGGTGACTGTCACA